GGCGGCGGATGACGCATTAATCGCGCGACACAACTAATCGATGATGAAATTCGTTGCCAACGCTTTTAAAAGTCGATTTTTATCGGTTTTATCGATTCGTTGTTGCAGCCCTAGTTTGAACTGATAAAGCTTGAACTGTGTTTTACTTTTCTGTATATATTCAGAAACTAGAAGGTGTTAGCTTTCAAATAATGCGCCACACATGTAATTTGGGCTTATAGTTCCTTAGTTATTTGCTTTTCCATTTGGGTATGCAATAGGCGAGAATTTCGAAAAATGAGGTGGATATTAAGAGGTTAAAGCGGGTCACTTGCTGAGTAGTTTGAGTTGAGTAGAGAAGTGTCAGTGAGCTGTTCCCACTGCCACTAAAAGCTGGTTGTTTCCGGAGTCAAGCGGGTTTTTCAGCCAGTGGGAAAGAGGTATAACATTGCTTTTCATTATTGTCTGAAAAGTGGTCCATGGACATCAAAAAAGCCGATGTTATATTCATAGTCTTTGTCATGAACACACCATGTCTTAGATGTCAACACATTGCTTTAGCAGGAATGCTTTTCAGAAACACTTGTGTTTGCATGTTTATCTATCTCATGTTTCTTCCTGTGTTTTAAGCCTTTGGGTTTTGCTGTTGAAAGGAAAAAACCTCGGTGCCATTTTTAGCTGTTTCAGAAAAACATGATTAATACAATTCTTCCTCAAAGTCCGGATCCGGATGAGTAATTCTCTTTCCTGCTAAACTGTCCGGCTCTCGTCACATATTGTATATCAGGGTCTACTTTCCCTGAATCCCTGTCTTTCCCCTGTGCTCCCTCAGCTGGTGTGAACTGAGCAGAAGGCGCTCTTTCTACAGAAATGCAAAAGGTAATCAGTCTTCCTGCATCATCTGTCTGCTTTTTTAACGTATTGCATGTGAGTTTGTTTTTCCAGATATCCTGCCTCTCAGGCTGGAATAAATGGAACCGAATTCTGTATGTGAAAGAATCTGCCTCGTCCTACAGGTGGAGGGACGTGTTACTCCTGTTAACCTGCCATCCTCTAGGGGCCCAAGTGTTCCAGGGTCTCCAGCCCCTGGCATCATGGTAAAAATATATGTTTTCCTCGTGTCTGTTGGAAAATGTGACATCTTTGTAAGTTTGTTCATGGTGTGCAGGATTCACATCATGGCCATTTGCAACATAACTCAAAGCTTATGTCTGTGTTTTTGCTTCAGACCTCACATAGTCTCTCTCAGAGATGTTGCAGCTTCCAAACCTAATGATCTCATTGCCTCAGGGTTGCTTTGTGCTGTTGAAATTCTTTGATATGTTTTTGTCTTACTAGCAGTGAAGTGCTCTGTTTTTGTTTAGGCTCGCCTGAATGACCAGGTGGTGGGTTACAAAGACCTGGCGGCCCTGCCCCGAGACAAAGCCATACTACAGGTGGAGAGGCCTGACCTGATGACCTACCAGCCCCACCTGACTTTCTCCCCACTCGACCCACCACGCAGAGAGGTAAACACACACACATTGCATGCATATACACACAGGTTACTGAATTACAAATAAACAATGGGCCCCGTGTCCCAGCAAAAGATCATTTTTTTCATCCTTTCCTCACAGCAGAAACCTGCTTTAAACTGATTTAAAGCATCAATTTTATATAGGTTTGTTAAATAAGGTCTGGATATCAGAACAATTAACTGGTGATCTCTATTTCTCTGCAGCGTTCTCTTTCCCCTCCTCCTGTGTCTCCCTCCATGTCTCCTGAGGTAGGACTTCAAAGTTTAAACTATGCTTCAATGAATGCCTGCCAAAGCTTCCAGTTATCAAGTTTACCTTATATTGTGAATGTCTTCTTTGCACTTTTTCCTTTTTTCACACTCTGTTCTCTACCTTGAGTAATAGACAGGGTACACCTTTTACAGGTTACCAATTCTCTACCTTGAGTAATAGACAGGGCACACCTTTGACAGGTTGCCAGTCCCCTTCCTTGATTAATTGACATTGTACACATTTTACAGGTTACCAGTTCTCTACAGGTGGAGAAAACTGGCAATAGACAGGGTATACCTTTGACAGCTTGCCAGTGCTCTACCTTGAGTAATAGACAGGCCACATCTTTGACGGGTTGCCAGTTCCCTGCCCTGATTAATTGACAGGGTACATCTTTGACAGGTTGCCAGTCCCCTTGCTTGATTAATTGACATGGTACACATTTTGCAGGTTACCAGTTCTCTACAGGTAGAGAAAACTGGCAATAGACAGGGTATACCTTTGACAGCTTGCCAGTGCTCTACCTTGAGTAATAGACAGGGCACACCTTTGACATGTTGACAGTTCTCTACCTTGAGTAATAGACAGGGCACACCTTTGACATGTTGACAGTTCTCTACCTTGAGTAATAGACAGGGCACACCTTTGACAGGTAGACAGTTCCTTACCTTCATTAATTGTCAGGAGAGACCTTTAACAGGTTGCCAGTTCATCTTACGACAGAACACTATTTATGGCCACATATCAACATTTCTCATCCATAGCGAATGTTTTAGTTATTTTAGGAAAAAAATTGTAGGTAGGACATACAAAGGCGGCCATTTCTATAGACATTGTTGTTGCCAGCAACCAAGCTCATGCTATAGATAAAAACAGATAAACATATTTTAATACAATCCCACAAAAACACAGAAGAGCTTTAGGGTACTAAATAATATGTTAGAAATTCCTTTGACTTGACGTCTTAGTTAGGATACTTCTGATGCCACTCTTTGCTTTTTATGGGGTCACACCATTGTCTCATGTATCCACCACCGATCCATATCCCATGTGAAACCATGGTTTTTCTTCATTCCTTCTATTACAGTGCTTTCACACTGTGCCAGGGGCTAAGCTCACACTTCAGGCATTAATGCTCAATTCCTTTTGCATGGTTGTTCACATTTCCAAATATACATGGCTTGTATGTGATCATCTGTATAAACTGCATTCATACAACTTAAGTGTCCCGCATGCGCAGTAGAGGACACAATGATGTCATAAGTGAGCATGCTCATATATAAACATGAGGACTTGGGAATAAAACTATAGCAAAAAAGAGCATTTAGCGATCTTTCCCAGCCTCAGCTAGTGCATAAACAACACAATCTTAAAAAGATGGTTGAAAATAAAGACTGCTCTCCGCAGTAGGTATTGTAAAACTTCACTTGATCACCAGCATAGCAAGGGAAACTGCATGAGACAGAGTTTGTTCCTTGCCCACTGACCACCCCATGTTGCAAAACCCTCTAGTGTCTGTGCTGATCGATCGGCTGGGCCCGATGCTTTAATACCATCAGGTGTTTAAGTTTAATACCAACATCCTGATGCTTGGGCATTTCCCAAAAGGTCTGACAGTGATTTGTAAGTCAATGAAGATTATGTCTGTCTGTTGACACGGTAAACCTCTAGGCATATTGGTGTCAGTCAAAGTCTAGTACAGTGTGGGCCTTGACGCTGTAACACCAACCATTTCATGATCAGTGGTGTCAGGGCCAGAGGCCAGTAATCAATCCTTCCTGTGATGGCAAACGGGATTAGAAGCAGGGATGATGGTGGCAGTTTTAAGGCAGATGGAAAAGACAAAATCTCTCAGGCACAATGAAGAAGCCCTCTGGGTGTTTCTCTGGGTAGCCTCCTTAATGAGACACAGCAGCTTAAAACACCAGAGCCATTTTCCTAGGGACATACAGGGGTCTGCACTTAAAATAGACGTTCCTGGTCAGGAGAGCAGCATCTCTCAATAATGGACCAACTCTTGCTAATATAGACCCCCCTTATCTTCCTTTGCCTTAGACTGATGTGAAGCCTGTCTGAAAGATTGTATTGCCTCTTGCAGCCTGGTTCAGGATGTTCTTATCCATCTTTATTACCAGGGAGCAGATGTTAAAATCTTGAAACTGCAGGTTTATGTGGGTTCCCAGTAGGGCTGTGCAGTTAATTGCTTTTACGATATAATCGCAATTTACCAAAATTGTGTTTCCAAATTGCAGATGCCCTAAATTTTATTCACGTTGCATTAAAGGAAAATTCCGGTTTTTAACACTTTTAGCCCCTTTTCTGTAGTGTCCAGGATGAAATCGAATGATCGACACCAAAATTTTGACGATTGGTCCTGTCTCAGCTATTTGGCTCATGGAGAATCCCCCCTTGGCTGCTTCAGAATGGCTTGCATAGTGCATGTCAGATAATGTCCTTAAAACAACCTTAAACGTTCTTTTTTTAAAATATGCTACTCACCGGGTCATCAGCGCTGGTCAATGACGGTCCAAAAAAAGTTTTGTGAAGAAA